AAAAAAAAAAAGCAACAAAAATCATGAGCAAATAAGTGTACACTGACTCAGTGAGCCTGACAGAACAATGAGCTCTCAGAGATGGGATTTGTTTTAAAGCAATATTAAAGGTAAGAATATTTAACATAAAGACAATGCTGGGTTAGCACTGCATGGAGATTAAGTTGATTTGGTATTTAGAGAACTTTTAATCTTTAAATGGGTAACAACTTAAAACTTAATCCTGTTAGTTGGTATAAAGAAGGGAAAGAAAAAAACCAAACCATAATTTCCTTTGTTTCAGGATACACTACAAGGAGCCAACTGAAGTAGCAGAAGGCTTAGGCTTGATCCTTCTAACCTTAAATACTTCTCTGGTGTTTTAGCCTTTTTTTCACTCCCTCCTGATCATCTAACCTTACAGTGTTTTCAAATAACATATATCAGTGAGAACAGCAGATCCATGACCTGAAAGCTCTATCAAAGATTCTCAGAACTAACTATTTTAACTCCTCAGATTTTTAAAATTGTGGTCAAAATGGGAATTTGAAAAGCAAGGATGGATGCAGATTTTTAAATTACAGTAATAAGTATACACTAATTATTAGGGTTTGGGGATATAATTATTAGCTGAAAACCAGTATATGTAAATTATGTAGCATGAATTCTAGTCAGACCAGAAAGGGACAGGACTGACACACAGGTCAGTGACAGTAAAGCATTTAAACACTCTGAATGGCAGATTTTCATTTCAATACCTCATCACCAACAATCATGAGAAGACTGACACCACCACACCATTAAGCTGAGGCTATAGTGGCTTAAATTATTTTTTTAATTATTTGATTTATAGAACACTTTATTGAAAGTCCAAATAAGATTTTTTTTTCCAAAAAATAACAGAAAGAAAAGATCTAGAAAGATACATACCATGTTTTCTACTCGCAGCTCAAAAGGCATAGGGTTGTACACCATCAACTGAACTTCACATACATCTCCCTGGACCCACTGGAAGTCTACAAGAAATGATCATAGAATTAATGCAAGGATTACTTAATCAGTGTTATTAAAAAAGCAGCAGCAGCTGAGCTGTTAGATTGCTGTATTACCAAATATTTCTCTATAATCTTCACAGCCCAAGTCCTACTCAAGAGCACTGTGGGACACAAGCTGTCAATCCCAGGCAAAGCAATGGGTTAAAGGACTGGAAACATTCATTAATACAACACTTGTGCTCCAAAGACCCAACGTTCTGCAGACAGAATTAACCAAGGCATCAATTCAAAACAGTCTTACACACACCCTTCATGTTAACCACTTAAAGGCTTTACAAACATGGAGTTAGGCACAGATTATACACTGTCTTAGGTATTGAAGACAGATAAGAAGCAACTAGGTAAGGAATGAACAAAACAGGAAGAAGGAACAAACTACAAGTCTTCATATAGACAGAGCTGATCATATGGTGTATATAAAGGATCCTTTCAAATTAAGAAGGAAACAACTGCACACCAGCAAGACACCACCTAAGTTTCCTCCTACTAATTTTCTTTGGGAAACAGTAAGTAGTTTGGGAGATGCTGGAATAGAACATCATAGAATCATAGAATTTAGGGGTTGGAATGGACCTTACAGATCATCTAATAACAATCCCCTGCCATGGGCAGGGACACCTCACTGGATCAGGTTGCTCAAGGCTTCACCCAGCCTGGCCTTGAACACTGCCAGGCTCAGGGTAGCCACCATGTCCCAAATGATGACAATGGGATCTGTAGACCACAGAACTTTTTTTTACAAGGGTCACAAAATTGAGGCTTAAGCAATAACACAAACTGTTAAGTAACTTATGAAAATTCTTAGGAATGACAATGAACAAGAATAGGTCATGTAAACAAATGTACTTTCACTCTGTATCTCACCACAAGAGGCAGGATCAACTTTAAAGATACTTCACTCTGCCAAGTTTAAAATGTTCTGGGGTTTAAAACTTCAGGAAATGAGGCTGGATGGGGATCTGAGTAAACTGGTTCCCTGTCTGCAGCAGGGGCAGTGGGAACTCGATGATCTTTAATGTCCCTTCCAATCCAAACCATTCTGTGATTCCTTGAGAAAATTATAGATGTGAGGTCAACAGCAAAGATGGAAGGTCTAAGAAACTGTTCAATGCAGAACGATTATTTCACATCAGCACTGCATAAACTTTTCAGCCCACAGATCCTGTCTAACTTCCAAATTTCTCACAGTTGACCATATGCACTTGACATTCAGACTTAAAACTGAATGTGACAAGATTCTCCATGCAAGATGAGGAACCTGAAGTCTTAATAAACAGAGTTTAACTATGTTTGTTAAGTAAATCATGATTATAGGCTGAACTATAACATACATGGATCAGCTTTAACTAATTTACTCTATGATTTTAACAGATGTTGCTAACAGCTTTTCATAGAATCATAGAATCAACCAGGTTGGAAAAGACCTCCAAGATCATCAAGTCCAACCCTACTATAGTTACTAGACCATGGCACTAAGTGCCACATCTAGTCTTACCCTAAAAAATCCTCCAGGGATGGTGAATCCACCACCTCCCTGGGCAGCACATTCCAATGTCTGATCACTCTCTCTGTAAAAAATCTCTTCTTAATATCCAACCTAACCCTCCCCTGGCAGAGCTTGAGTCTGTGCCCTCTTGTCCTGCTGCTGGTTGCCTGGGAGAAGAGACCAACCCCCACCTGACTCCAACCTCCTGTCAGGGAGTTGCAGAGGGTGAGAAGGTCTCCCCTGAGCCTCCTCTTCTCCAGGCTCAACACCCCCAGCTCCCTCAGCCTCTCCTTTCTGTACTAGGATATTAGAAAACATCCAGTAAGAAACTTGGATTATCAATATTAAGACTTTAATTCACAGTTGAAGCCATTTGTACTCTAATTGTACATTCACAATCATTTACTATCTGATTACATTTTGTAAGCAATATTAGAGAGCTCAAGGGAGATGTACTTAATGCAAATGTTTGACTCCAATTAATGCTAGTGGAAATTAAAAACATACATCCAGAGATGTTAATGGCTTATATTACTATGAAACCTGAAAAGCAAAACTGTTGATTAAAACAAAGTGTTCAAATGCACAATGGTGTGAGATCTTCTGTACACTTCTTGCTGACTTGCTAAATAGTGTCCACCACGTCTTAGGCATTCTGCAGTCCCCAAAACAAGCAGTGATTGTCCTGCAGATGTGCTGCAAAAGGTATCAAAGCACTGAACTTAACTACACCAGCACAGCAGCCCCAGGAGGCACTTCAGGCCTAAATCTCCACGTTCTAACAACTACCACACAATGGAATGTCTTTTCTGAAAACATTTTCAACTTTATCATGTAAAAATGGATTCTGAAAAAACAGAAGAAACACGTTGGCCACTCTTGACTTCATAGAATCATAGAATTTAGGGGTTGCAATAGACCTTACAGATCATCTAGCCCCAACTCCCTGCCCTGGGCAGGGACACCTCCTCACTAGATCAGGTTGCTCAAGGCTCATCCAGCCTGGCCTTGAACACCACCAGGGTCAGACCAGCCACCACAGCCCTGGGCAACCTGTGCCAGTGTCTCACCAACCTCACAGGAAAAAACATTTTTCTCACATCCAACCTAGACTTTCCCTCCTTCAGTTTGAACCCATTCCCCCTTGTCCTATCACTGCAGTTCCTAACACAGAGTCCCTCTCCAGCTCCTTGTAGCCCCTTCAGATATTGAACAGTTACTCTGAGGTCTCCACACAGTCTTCTCTTCTCCAGGCTGAACAGCCCCAACTCCCTCAGCCTGTCCTCATAGGGGAGATGCTCCAGTCCTCTTAGCAACTTTGTGGCCTCCTCTGGACTTGCTCCAACAGTTCCATGTCCTTCTTATGTTGAGGACACCAGAACTGCACACAGTATTCCAGTTGGGTCTCACAAGAGCAGATTAGAGGGGGACAATCACCTCTTTTGACCTGTTGCCCACAGTCCTTTGGATGCAGCCCAGAAGAAGATATCGCTTAAGTATCACTCTAAACAAACACAAACCAATTTTTTGCCTGATGCTTTAATGTATTTCCATCCAAAAAGGAAGGATTCAAGTGTAGTTTCTTAACATTTACCAATATGATCCTTCCCTCAGTTTGGAATACTCCCTGAGTTGCCCCTCACACCACCACTGAGGCCATGGGAAGCACAAGTGGCAGCAGGAGGAGCATCTGATCCCTGCAGGGTGTCCAGTTCTGGTCCCACAGCTTAAGAAAGACACAGACAAACTGAAGAGGATCCAAAGGAGTACCACAAATATAATCAAAGGGCTGGAAAACCTGCCTGATGAGAAAAGACTAAAGGAGTTAGATCTCCCTGCAGAAAAGAAGGCTCAGGAGGAATTGCATCATGGTATTACAGCCTCCTCACAAGGAGTCACAGGGAGACCAAGAGCAACAGGTACCAGTTGCACTGAGAGAGGTTTCATTTTCCTAAGGCAGAAAGATTTTTTCAGTAAGAATGATCATTCAGTGGAACAACCTCCCAAGGGACACAGCGAAGCCCGAACTGCTGAAGGTTTTCGAGATGCAATTGAAAATATCCCATGAAAAAGGCACCAGGGCAATGCTATAGAATTGCTTCCTTGGTGGAAAAGGTTTAGAAAAGAAAGGTAAAATGAGCTATATTTCTACCATCCAACACAGATATGTCATTAGCTGCCAGATTTACTAATGGAACTATATTACAAGTTCTTGCAGCTTTAGATTGGCAGCTCTCAAAACCAAAAAAACACTTCATGTCAAAAATCAGTAGGTTTATATTTTATGACCAGTGTACTAGTGAAGCAATTTAACCAGAATGTAATTATATCCCCTTTATTGTTTCCAATCAGAAAAGTTTATCAAGTTGAAAGATGAAAACGTTTTCTCAAGACTTTCTAAAAGGATTTTGTTTCCGTTTGGTTTGTCAGCAGTACTTGATTTCCTTCACTGTAAAAAAATAATTTAATCAAAATATGGCATACATATTTCCACACAGGCAAAACAGTTCATTTGCTCTTCCTGCTTTCAATTAAATACATGCCATTAAAACAGTCTTAGTTTCAAAGTTTATTAAATTTCTCAGCTTTTTTTGAGGGAAGTATCTGATTTTATTTTGTATTTTCTTACAGTTGCAAAACTTTGAAACATTAGAGGCTTTTAACTTTGACTGCACCGTGTATATACTTCAAAAGACAAATGCTTTACAGGATCAGAAGCAGTCCAGGCATCTCCTTAGGCTAAATAAAAACCTTAGGCAGGAAGCTGAACATGAGGCAGCAGTGTGCTCAGGGGGCCAAGAAGGCCAATGGCATCCTGGGCTGGAGCAGGAACAGTGTGGTCAGCAGGACCAGGGAGGTGATTCTGCCCCTGGACTCAGTGCTGGTGAGGCCACACCTTGAGTCCTGTGTGCAGTTCTGGGCCCCTCAGGTCAGGAGGATATTGAGGTGCTGGAGCAGGTGCAGAGAAGAGCAACGAGGCTGGTGAAGGGACTGGAGCACAAGTGCCATGAGGAGAGGCTGAGGGAGCTGGGGGTGTTGAGCCTGGAGAAGAGGAGGCTCAGGGGAGACCTTCTCACCCTCTGCAACTCCCTGACAGGAGGTTGGAGT